TACCTTTGCTGCCCCAAACGCGCGAGCGACGGCGCAACACAGGAGTCCAATGGGACCAGCACCAAAGACCGCCACAGTCCGTCCTTGTAGATTGCCAGCGAGTCCGCAGCAATGCACAGCGATGCTCAAAGGTTCAACGAGTGAGCCTTCGCGCATGGATATATGTGGTGGGAGCTTATAACAACACTCTTCGGGAAGGCAGTAGAAAGTCGATAATGTGCCGTCATATGGAGGGGTTGCCGCGAACCGCATCGAGTCGCAAAGGTTATATCGTCCGCTTCGGCATGTCTCGCACGTGTTGCAGCCTACGCCAGGCTCGAGAGCAACTCGATCGCCGACTTTGAGATGTTTGACGTCTTCGCCACAGGCTTCGACAATACCTGCAGACTCGTGGCCGAGGACAATGGGGTCGTTCACGACATAGTTCCCGATACGACCGTGTTGCCAGTAGTGAACCTACGTGAGCGACGAGGTCAGTGTACGATACGCGAGGAGGGAAAGAACTGCTCACATCCGAGCCGCAAAGCCCAGTTGCTATGATCCTGACACGGACATCTCTTGCTGTGCGAAGGGTCGGTATGGGTCGATCCTCGAATCCAAATTGCCTAGAAGGGCTCAAAACGAATGCTTCGTTAACTTCTTCTAAATGTTCGACAGTAGATGTGGGAAGTTTTGCATCGAGTACAAGTTGAGGTTCCGGCTTCATGGTTTGTGTTGTGATGGACATTTTGTGATATGGCAACACAAATACAGTCTCGACAATACTCACTCAGTTGAGTGACACCCTATAACTATGCCAGATCCAACACGGCTCCTAGCGCAAGGTTCCGACGGTTGGCGTTTTCGTGGTCAGTCGGTTCCGGTGGCTTGCTCCAGCCGCCGGCCAACTTCATCCTATTGGTTCCAGACATGCATGATCCGCTGCAACAGCGGTTCCGGTTTTTGAGATCAGCAAGATCTCCATGCACGCACGTCCGACGGGACCGTCACCTCAAAATTACCACATAGCATAGTTGTAGCTGCATGGAGGCGCTGATTCAGCCCTGTGTTCATCACCGGAATGTACCCGGCACTTGCGTCGGTCAATGAACTCTTAGTAAAGGTTCGAGCAGCCTCACAACGCCAAGCACATACGGAACCGTAGCACACGAAGTCTGTTGCATGAGGGGTGAAGTATTCTCCACGGGGTGAGAAAGCTGGGGTAGAAAAGGCCGTTGAGTCCCCAGCTTTCAATCATCACAACGCAAACGGACCACCGTCTCAAGTACACTACAGTCTCGCAACAGCACATCATCTCAGCACCATCATGGCTTCCAGAAGCAACTCTATTGCGGTTCAGAACGCCAACATCAGGCAGCGAGCGGATCAAGTCGCCCAGCAAGTTCATGAGGAGGCGACATGGATTGAAAAAAAGTTGACGCCGAGCAAAGTCACCGCCCGCTATCCGATCAAGGGCGCGGCTTTGCTCTACGCAACTTGTGGATTTGGAAGTTTGGGCGATGCTTTGTTCGGTTACAACTCTGGTAGGTCTTCTACGACTTCAGGTACTCTACCAGTCACTGACGCGATCAGGTATTATGTCGGGCCTGCTCGTTAATCCCGTATTCATCAAGCGATTCTTCAGCGATTTTGGCGGTGCAGATGGATCACTTGCGACAGTCAACCCTACCATCACTGGTATCTCGGTCGCTTGTCTCCAAGCATCAGCAGCCGTTGGAGCCCTCATTGCCGGACGACTGGGCGACATCATTGGCCGCAAGCGAACCGTTCGTCTCGGTGGCTTCATCTACTTCTTCAGCGCCTTCATCCAGATTTTCGCCCCGGGCTTCGCTACCTTCGTCGCTGGACGAACCATTCAGGGTGTCGGTGTCGGCTTCCTCTCCATGACCGTTCCCATCATACAGACGGAGATTGCAGCTCCGCATGCAAGAGGTCTAATGGTTGGCATCGAGTACACATGTCTGATCGCTGGCTACATGTTGTCATGCTGGGTCGATTACGGCTTTCATTTCATGCTTCCGGATGCCATGTCTTGGCAAGGCCCGTTCATCATCCAGATTCTGCTCTCATTCCTCCTCGTGGTTATGTCTTTTTTCCTCCCGGAGACTCCCCGTTGGCTGGCAAAGAACGGTTTCATGAAAGAGTCTCTCCAAACCGTTGCGGATCTTCACTCGAACGGTGACACCAGCGCAGAGCATGTCCAGCAGGTATTCCTGGAGATCCAAGAGGCTGTCGTGTACGAAGCAAACCTCGGAAAGTCAAGCTGGAAGGTGAGCATACCAGTACTTGCTAGCTATGGAACATTACTAATTCTGTGGCAAGGAAATGTTCACTCGCTACCGCAAGCGCACCATCGTCGGTATCACAGTGCAGATGTTCGCCCAGCTCAACGGGATCAACATTATCTCTTTCTACCTCCCCAGCACGCTCGCGTCCGCCGGTTTTGACGACAAGAAATCTCTGCTCTATACCGCTGCCAACGCCATTCCCTATACAGCCGCCACCGTCGTCACGTGGTGGCTCGCAGACCGCTGGGGCCGCAAGCCGCTGCTCCTTCTTGGTGGTGTCTTGATGGCCGTTCTCCTCGGCATAGTCTGCGCCTTCACGGAAGCTGACATGCCCATCGCCACCAAAGCCAACGGCCAATACGCCTTTGTCATGTTGTACAACATTGTGTATGGCTTCACATGGGGCCCAATGCCGTGGCTGTTGCCCGCTGAGATCTTCCCTCTGCGAGGCCGTAGCAAGGGCATGGCTTTGGCGACGACAAGCAATTGGATCTTCAACTTTATCATCGGCATGGTGTCGCCAGATGCTTTCGCGGGAATTGGCGGCTACTTTTACCTCGTCATTGCTAGCTTCTGTCTCTGCTCTGCGGCACTGAGCCACTTTTACTACGTGGAGACGGCAGGGCATAGCCTCGAGGAGATTGCGGTCGCATTCGGGGATAAGGCGTTTGCGGATAGTGATGAGGAGATCATGGAAAGCGCGACGGTGGGTGATGAGAAGGCGCACTTCAATGCTTGATTGGGAGAGGACTGGATATGGTGAAGGGAAGTGGATAGAGGAAGAGCGAAAGTGACAGAGTCCTTTCAGGTATGGTCCTCGAGTCATTTGGCGGCCTTGTTCAGATCGCGTTTGTTATAATTTAGCGCTTGTTTCGCAATTCATAGTTTTCGCGGTGCGTTTGCTCATCGAATCGACGCTTTCAACTATTTAGGATTTGACGTCACACACCTCCATCTACGTTTGTTATGTCGTGATCGCAGCACTCACCTCTTCTCTGGATCTCATGCCTCCAGCACTCATCAGTAACGCGAAACCTCCCTCAACTCAACCAAGTACTGCGATGAACAACAACGCGAAGGGCAAAACGCCTCCGTTCCGGTTCATGGATCATCCCCTGGAGCTTCGCTTGATGGTATACGAGCATTTACCACAACAGATCACCCACACGCGCATAGATGTACCTGGCCGACGCCAAGACCCCAAATCACTACTTATCTTGATCACTCGAACGTGCTCTGTTGCAATCCTGCGTGTGTCGCATACTATCAACAAGGAAGCGAAGGCTATTGTCGACAAGCTAGTTACGGAGTGGATTTTTCCTCATCCCATCCGCACTATTACCAGCTCTGGTGCCGCTATCGAAGTCTGGGAAGATATTTTGTATTTCGTTACTTATAAGACGATCAACGTGCCGAATGAGAACGACATGTACCAGCTCACCGAGGGCGCCAAAGATGAGTACGACAGCAGACTAAGGGCAGAGTTGTAGCTAAATTGACTTACAAGACCTACTTAAAACGCCATACGATTGGACGGAGCTTGGGGAAAACGAAGATAACGAAGACAGCGATAGTGACGACAGCGACGATGATGCTTACCCGGGACTCAGCCTAAGAGGCCTCTTCAACACTCAGGTTCTGCACACGGGTTTGTTGCAGTTCGCTGATCAGGCGTTGGGCGTATGGTACCACCAAAGCGCTCCGCAAATCGAACTCCTCATACTCCGCCACACAACAACAGGCCGCAACGAGCTTAGATACGATCTAAAGTCACTGGAGGTGAGCGATGAATCCAGGCGCGCAGTCATCACTGTACCTGCAGTGTTGGCGCGCCACGCCGCTGAATTCATCACCGCGGAGACGATCAATACCTTAGAACCAGGCTTTAGAGTCATCGCCACTCCCTTCCCTGTGTACCCCGACGTGATTGATGGAACGATGACAATTACGCCACAAACTTGGGCCAAAGATTGGATGGCGGGCTAGTAGCTAGTCGAAGCGCTCCGCAGCTCGGGACATGGGCAGCTTCGGTAGAATCGACGGAGTCCCAAAACGCGGTTGTTCGTACGCATGGAGTGGATGGTTGCGACGCGTCAGTGCAGAAAGCGGCTGGGATAGGCCATCTGCCCCATTGGCGTAATGTCAGAAGGAAAGTACGCAGAAGAAGGTGGAATGACGCCAAAAGCGATGAAGGGCATCACGTGGCTGACTAACACGGCTCCTTTCCAACCCGCCTCTCGGTAAGTTGCGAAAGCTAGAGATAAAGATACATCACCTTGTCTATCTACAGAGATTTTTTAGAATTTAGAACAGCTTTTACACACGTTAGTGTAGTCGCCAGGCTTAGCTTCTTTCTGGCTTTCTCGGCTTACCGAGAGTCCGTCTTCTCCTTTCTGCCATAAGAGCCCTAGACGCGTCGTTGTCAACATGCACGCGTGAACATGCCTTGTTTTCGTCTCTTACCATGAGTTATCGTGTTCTAACACGTCCCAGTCGCGCTGTCTCTGCGTGCTATCGCGTTTGCCGCAAACTGTAGGCAGCCGAAGCCGCCCGGTTTGCCCTGACGCAACAGAACCCCGCACGTCAGACCGTGGGTCACAAACTTCAACTGCCTACCCTGACTGAGTGTGCCCTGTGGTCGGTCTATACAACTACTTTTTAATAGCTGTAAATATTATATCTAATTTCCAGAAGAAGCAAATGCATCTCCCAGGCCGGTTGGCGCAATGGTAGCGCGCAGCCCTCCTACGATGAGGGAGGCTGAGGCTGTGGGTTCGAGTCCCACATCGGTCGTTTTCTTGCTTTCGCTACTAGACACATATGTTTTTGTCTTTCTACCTTTTTTCTTTTTCTCCAAAAAAGTGGTTGATCGCGATTCCCTTTTCGCATCACATCACGCTAGTGGGACAGACTCCCCACATCGGTCGCTCTGCTCTCATTGCCAAATGGAGTTGTTTTAACTTTTTGCCTTTTCCTATCGTCTTCGTAAAAGTGGTCGGTCGCACCCTCGCTTTTTCCTTTTTCGCATGAATATGTAAGCTGCGACGAACAATGGGCGTTCGCCGTAAGGGCCGGCCACGCTCATTATCCGTCCAACACGATCTGAAGCTATGCAACAGCACCTAGCAACTTGCCGATCTCAAACGTCCGCTCTCTCATGCGTTTCCTACACATCTCTGTGCGTTCGACGGTATAACATGGATAGGAAATGCAGTTTCTAGAAAGTTTCCTTTCTTGACCCTTTCATACTGTTTCACAGTATATTGTTGTTGACCTAAGTTCCGCACGATGGCTACCAACAACTCAGATCACGTTTCCAAATTCTTGATCATAGAGGATCTAGAAATTCTATGGATCTTACTTAGCATTGCTAGCATTTTTGGTTTTGTTTTTCTCGCTTCCTACCTGTACGCGGTGATTAGGAATATTTGGTTGAGGCGCCGACCGCAGCCGCAACCCGCTCCACCGTTCGACTTCGGAAACGACTGGGTCGACCCGATCAACCAGCATGGAACTGAGCTACAGCCGCCTCAGACTGCTCTCCTCAGGCGACACAGTGACAGGTACCCAGCTGCGCCGAGGTATGAGGAATTCCACAAAGACGCTAGTCTGCCACATGGTGCAAAGACCGAGCAGCGAGGCGGGTACACTTTTGCTGTGCAGAACGAAAGACCGCCTAGCTATCAATTGCGGCTCATTCTCTCAAGTCACACGAAGAATTTAGGTGCAGTAGCTTCACGAACGGATACGTTGAGGTATGCTCTTCGTGACATAGTATGTCAAGCCCATGCCAGCTCATCCTCAACATTGAAGTACATTTAATACATAGTTGTTGTTTGCCACTCATAGTCCTTCTTTCTTGCAACTGTATCAATATGGACCATGTCAGCTTGATACTCATGCTTTTCGGTATCTTCTTGATCGTACCGCTCATCTACTATTTTATCTACATCGGTGTCAAAGAACCCTACCTACCTCAAAAGTAGCAGGATTGACGATGCCACGGAAACCTTGGATGTGGTCATGCAGATCATAGATGGTTATACGTAAGGCGACAACATCAAGCGTATTCCAAAATTATTCATATTACGATCACACTATACCAGGAATAGCGGTCGTGTGATGCTGGAAGAGTAACAACACTGCTCTTGAATCCACCCTTAACCGCATCATCAACGTGAAGTGTTTGCTTGTCACATAATACTCACTCATAGCCCCATATCATTATCTTCATCTTCGTATCTAACTAACAGTTACCTCAACTCCACTCAACTCTTCTCCTTCAACCCCCTCAGGCTGCGCTCTCTACCGCCCAACTACACATCAATATCAACCATCTGCTACATCGAACAAGCACACATCCATATCACGATGCCAGTCCGATTCAAGTGGCGGGAGTATCGCGACAGAGTCCGTCGTCTCAAGACCAAATACCTCTACAAACACGGCGGCCCACCAGAACCCAGCAAAGACGCGGATCTATACTTTGACTGGCGGCGGTTGCGCGAGAAACCGAAGCAGGATCACCACAATGTACATCCGGGAAACGAGGTTTATGGGAAAGGCGATCTTGAATGAGGATTCATGGAGCAAACTTTGGATCAAGTTGGCGTTAGGGTACGAACCGGCGAGGACTATCTTGTTGGATGCGTGGGTTTGCAGCAGGGACATGGAGGTCGTAGGAAGGTTTGCATGCATGAGTTGGTAGCGGACGTATTTTATGCGCTGGGCATGTTGTTGACGCAAACGTGATAGTTCTCTTCGATTCAGCGTGCCCGATAACTGAGTTTCCTCACAAACAACTTCAAACATTCTGACGTTGATCAGTATATGAGCCGCCACACAGGTACAATATATGTGGGCAAATCACACTTCATTAGAACCCCCAATCATGGACTTACCTTCCACTGGCAGTATTTTCCCACTCGGTTACGCTACCATCATAATCATTGTCGTGCAACTTCTCGTTATCGCGGGCCTTGCCGGTGATGCGCTGACAAGACCATAGCAGCGAACATATGCGGAAGAGGCCCAGACTACGCACTAAAGCACAGATTGATGAGTTTGTTAGATACGAAGCGGTGGACAAAGTGCGAACGATTTCGCTCGGAAGAGTGGATGGAACGCATGGATTCTTCTCGTGATCAATCATACACTATAGCAAACAAAATGCTAAATCATAAAGACTTCTTTCAGTCCTTCACACAAAGGCTCAAAGAATAGACTCACCATTCACCAGCGATGTTCGGCCTATCGCCGTGTCCCCTCGCTTCCACATCAGCAACCGCAATCTCTCTAGAATACTTTTTCTTCGGTGCGCTTGTTGGAGCCATTGTTGCATTAGGGGTCACACACTGCCTGTTTGGAAGCGGCCGGTCAAGACGTGCAAAACAGACCACGAGATCAACGAGATTTTCTACAGAGGGTGGCAGTGAAGCGGACGACGACGAAGATGAAGAAAACGGTGCAACGGATCGCGCATCATCTCTTGAGAGCGAATTATTGCCTTCCCAAAGCCCAGACAGAACGCCGCCGGATGTGATGGTTCCCAGAACCAGGCAATCTGCGTCGTCTAGGTCGATACGTGGGGTCAGCGGTCGACATTATGTTTCTTAGACCTTCCTACCCACTCGTTCGCGGACGACTTTGCTATCAACTCTCCACAGAAAGAATGTTCTCGTTAGACAGCAAACCAGCAACAAAGAGGCGAACGCTTGACGTTGATCAAAACAATTAGCAATCATGCTCCAAACGTATAGTCCCAGCTCTAGCACTATGTAGCTGCCGCTCTTCCCTCCCGTCATCATTCATTACACAGACTCAGCCTCACTGATCAAGATGCTCAGCCCTACCCAAATGTTCGGCGTCGTCTTCACCAGCTTGATCGCCGCAGTGGTCGTGATCGTCCTTGCCATGTGTCTCATCGATAGCTTGCGACAGAGAAAGCGGCGCCAACTAGAAGATGGAACCACTCGGTCAGCGGAGGACATAGGGCTGGAAGACCGAAGGAAACGTGAAGAGGAGCAGGACGCAATGACCGATGCAGAGTATTTTGGATGGCCTGCGTAAGCACCAGGCATCGAGGCGTGAAAGTGTGTATCTCAAAGTAGAAAAGATGTGGGAAATGCAAGGTCTAAAATTGTTCATATAAGTCGGAATATGTACATGCATCTTGAAAGAATGTCCCATCTACTTCTCCTCGGGGCCCATGTCAAAAAGCAGAAACTCGGCTGGCTTGTCTCCAACACTCTTGAGCTCAATCTTTCCAGGCCCGCTCACATCAATGTAAGCACCGTCACCTTCAGCCAACGTTGTGTCGCCGATCACGATCTTGGCACCGCCTTCCTTGGGTTGTGTTCGCCCGCTCATGATGACCTGCGCAAAGACCTTTCGCGGGCCCTCTGCAACAAGCTCGTGCGTGACGCTCTTTCCAGGTGCCAGGATAGAAGCGTCCATGGATAGATCCGCCTGCAGGGGAATGGCACCCTTGCTGACACGATCGGTAGACTCCATAATGCGGACGAGCTTATCGGTCTTTTCCTCATCGCTGAACTTCTTGGTCTTGTAGTGGGGCTTGAGGCCGCGCTTGTTTGGCTTGGCCCAAATCTGGAGAAAATGGACTTCGTCGTCGGTGTTCCTGTTGTACTCCGAGTGCCTGATGCCCGTACCGGCGCTTGTGAATTGCACCTCGCCGCGCTTGAGGTTCTCGAGGTTGCCCATGCTGTCCTTGTGTTCGAGGGTGCCGTTGACGATGTAGCTGAAGATGAGGAACTCAGCATGCGAATGTGTCCCGAAGCCGGTGCCAGGCTTCACTCGGTCTTCGTTGATGACGCGTAGTGGGCCGAAGGATTCGTGTCGCGGGTCGTAGTACGAGGCGAAGGAGAAGGTGTGGAACGAGTACAGCCACCCGTGATCAGCCTTCCCTCGGGCAGCCCACGGCCGCTTGTTGATCTTCATTGCGGCTGGGACAGACGTGCTGGTGGAGGTCGTCGTCATCGTCATGGCTCGGACGGCGGGTTTGCTGAAGGCGGACGAAAAGGTGTTGCGAAAGGTGCTTGAGAAAGCCAGGGTGATGGCTAGCAAAGCTATGAAAGCTGTAAAGGTCTTTGTGGTGAAGTATGAATTTGCTGTAGCTGTGGGTTGTGGTTCACTTGATGCGTCTGCTGCCATTAGAAAAGGAGAAATCGCAACCTCGACGTCGAGAGAGCTCTTTATACGTGTTAGCCACAGGTGCGGTTAGTTCGCGCATCTTGGAGAGGCTTCGATGGAGGATAGACTCTTTGTGCCTGCATTTACAATAGTGTGTAATCCGTTACGAAGAGCTTGTGGAGGTGGAGACGGGCCGCGGCTGACTGATCGATGACGAGAATGACCAGTTTTCGCAGCCTTGTTCGTCAGCGAGATTTGATTGGTGGAGAGCCGACTGGTGCGGTTGCCCTTCCGCGTCGTTGTCAGACCTTACAAATGCCTGCAACATTGACTGTTGATTACTTGCAGCCCCTTTGAGAAAAGTCGATTAGATCTGGGCTCGATTTCACACTGCGAGACTTGATCGCTGTGCGCTGTGAGACCCGTGTGAGCCAACATGGCATTGAAGAACTTCAACCCTGGCACCTTCCTGCAAGACTGGTCGGAGGAGAAGTATTCGCCAACACAGAGCGGAAAGCCGTTTGCGCAATGCATAGGTGAAGCATTCGGCATTCCGCCAACGGATGCGTACGTCTACCGCGCACAAGCGGAGACGACGCTGCATACCACACAAAAAGCCATCGCCGGAAAGCGATCGTACGGCC